TTGAATGACGAAAATAGGAAAATTTACCCAAATGAAGGCATTAGTCTCAGCAACTACATATTTAGATGACTGGATTAATCTATCATCTCTTGATGGATCCATTGTATGCAGTGCTTCTGTTACAGCATATTAGTTCTCCCCACAGAGAGCACCATGGCCCTCACATTTGAAAACACGCCCCAGTTTGCCAGGGTCTCAAGAAATAGTGAGACAGGCAGAGGCATTGCTTACTTGGCTTTGCAAATGAGATCTGCTCACGTTTACTCAGAGCCTAAGGTAACAACCCAAACCTGGGTCTTCTGACAGGTAGGCGAGGGTCTGTTCCACATCAGCTCCTGCCCTCGAGAGTTTAGACTGCAGTCTCTAGTTCATACGGACTAGGAGTAAATCTTGGTTGTACAACTTATTTTTGTGACCTTGCACAAGTTTCTTAGCCTCTTTGCCTCAAATTCCTTATCTGTAAAATAGAGCTAATAAGAGTAGTTATCATGTGATTGCAATGAGGAGAACCTGAGCAAACACATTCTAAAAATTCAGAGCACTGCCCAGTATCTTATAATCATCACTCAGTAAATGTTATGTCATTGCTATGATGTGGAGTGATTATTTGTGAACCTGTCAATATGAGAACCAAAAAAATCAATGAAGATCATTGTGTCATAGTGAAAATACTAGATTTAAATAATGTTATATTGACGAGATGTGGGTTTTTAATTTAAGTTTTAGTTAAAAATGTGACATACTCACCATAGAGTATATTTTGTAAACAAAGTCCAGAGCTGTAACACATAATTATTATGTGCTAATACAATTATTATCCTGGACATTCCATTTTAGACTATGATTTACCATATAGCTAATCATAGATGCAGAAATTTTTATAACCCAATTTATATATGATATATACCCCCAGGAACAATTACATACGTTGTTCCTATATACTGTTTTTAAGGGATGCAAAACTTGCCTTCAAGAACATGGTAAAAAGTTATTTGGTCAGTCTACTATTGTTCAACATTCCTGTGGCTTCCAAAACTTCTACTAGGATAAATAGCACTACTATCACAACAAAAGCATACATATGTCTTTTATTCTAAATTATTATTCTAAATCACATACTGACTATCCCATAGGAGAAACAATCTGGTAATAATATATTATGTCTTTCAAAACTAATATCCATGATAGCAGATTATTTAAATTACTAGTTCCACTAGCATATTCTTGGCAGTGTTAAATATTTTAACTTTAAAAGAAGATACCCCCCTCCAAAAAAAATGGTACCTTGAGGTTTTAACTTACATATCTTAAATTACTAGACATTGGGACATGTTTCTAAATGTTTCTTAGTTTCAACTCACTGTTTTCTTTTGTAAACAATTAGATTAAGTTGTTTACCCTCCCCGAGGCTCAGATGCTTCATCTATGAAGTATAGGTAACATCGTGTCCTATACAGTTTTGTGGTGAAAATCAAACAAAACTAATGCAGTGAGAATATACTTGTCATGAAGCCTAGCACAGGTGAGGGATGCTGGTTTTAGTTCAGTGAATGAATAAATGACTAAGTGGTCATCCATCCAAAGTTGCCTTAGAAGAAAAGCCTGATTTACTTCTGAAAGCTCACCCTTGCCATCCCTAAAGAGCACAGCTCTACTGGGGCACACACGAGGTGGCCATGAGCTGGAATGGAATTGACTGCAACTATTTGGTTAGCCAGTTTCATAGAACTACATACTGCTAACAATAATAATCTCACATTCTTGCACGGTCCAGGTATCAGCCTAGGGAAGGGGAGAAAGTGCCATGTTCAAGGCAACATTGATAGAAGGATGGCATTTGCTGTTGGAAGAAGGCAGAAGATAACCGTTTTGGATTGAACTGCATCCCTTCAAATTAGATGTAATAAATCCTAACCCTTATGCCTGTGGTTCTAATCCCATTTGGGAATGGGCTGCCTTGGTTGAGTTATGAGGCTGGATAGGTGGTGTTTTGAGTCAACCTCTGAATAGAATATGAAGGGATCAGATTAGGCATGCGGAGATGGGAGCAGATAGATGCCGCACCGCATGAAGATCATTACAGAGCCAAAGAGAGACACCGAAGAGACAGGTGTCTTCTCCCAGAGCCTACATACCGAGAGATGAGTCTTTTGCTGAGAACCACTTTCCTAAATTCAGATGCCTACCCTCCTAAACGCTGAGAAAACAAAGTTGTGTTTGTTAAAGCTGCCCACGGTGGCATCTCTGTTGTAGCAGCATCAGGGACGAGAGTTTTACTGCCATTGAATGTTCCCATCGCCAGCTGCCTACCTCAAAAGGAGATGTGCAGAAAGGGGCACTGCAGGCGAGCACAAGGGCAACACGTCTGATGTGAAAGCCATCTCTACCAACACCAAGGAGCCCTGAGGAGAGGGACAGCATTCTCTTCTGCCCTGGACCGAGCACACGCCAGGCTCCCCCTACTGGCTTTTTCCTACTGGGGATGTGGGGAATGTAGGCTTTGTATTTGTTTGTTTTTCTTTGAAGGAAAAACCGCTAGTCGTAGGATCAAAGGGGAAGCATGTAATAAGTCACAAAAATGTGATGTAACATTTTTATATAGTGCCATTATTACCTCATTGGGAAATATAGATGCACAAAAAGAGTTTCCCTTATATCAATCAAAGCTAGAATCAAATCACTTCCTTAGAAAGACCTCTGCAGGATGTGAACTTGGTCCTAGATTTCAGTTTCTGATGAAATATGCTGCAGGTCTTGCTAATGGACACTCCTGTTCTGAGCCAGCCTGGCCAGTGTCACGCTGCTGTCATTTAGATCTGTGAATACTATCCCCGAGCATGGTAAACACTTGAAGAAAATAATAATTATGTAGGAAATGCGTTATTCCCCTTCGTGCCAGGAGTCACCCCTGCAAACTTTCATTACCTTTCTATGCCAGGGACAGCAGAAAAGGACACCACAGGAGGGTCTGATTGCATCACCCCATCAGCACTTGAGCCTCCCTAAGTGGTTTATAATTTACCCAGGGAAAACAGAGAGGCAAACATTGGTCCAGTCCCCTGAAAGGCATCCAGAAACTTGTCCTTGCTTACTGCACTGACAGACAGCTAGCACGGTGGTCGAGAAGGACCAGGATCACTTACGAAACCGAGAGCTGCCCTCTGGCACTCGGTGAGTTTGCTTGTCCTTTAGAAAAAGCAATGAGTTGGACCAGAAGCAGAAAGGCGGAAGAAATGCTTCCTAATGAGAAGCCAAATAAATGCCAATTAGAAAACACATGGCCAATTTATATTTTAGAAGCATTCCTCGGAGTAGCTTTCCTGATAGAAGAACACGGATGGTCTTGCAAGCCAGTTTATGAAATTACTGAATGAAAAATGCCAAGTAGATCAAACTAACCATATATATTTTTAGTGATGCTAACAAAGATGAGCACTGTTTAGACAAATATGAGGCTATCTTTCCATGCTAGTACCCAGATAGCCCGCATTTTGAGACATAAAAAACACAGCTTACAGCCAGACAGCCAAACTGTGCAGGATGACTTCCAGCAGCGTGACCATCTCACACAAGCATGCCACAGGGACAGTCACAGGAGCAGTGACACGGAGTGCGGAAGGACAGCAGAGGCAGTGTTGGCGCTGCCGCTGCTTCCGATGAAGCAGAAGGCTTCTTTGAACTCAATTTCCAACTCGAGGCATCAGACTGTAGACCTCCAGACAGTCCTAGAAACGGTAGCCCAACTGTCCCAGGAAGCTTTCCGGTGTGGAAGTTTCATGGCGACTGAAACACACCCAGAACTCCAAGAAAAGAAAGGAAATGAGGCCCGTCTGTGACCTCCAGCCTCTCGGGGCCCGCCATGAGGGTCTCACTCGGTGCTGACTTGGTTCTGATTCTCCAGAGAACTGCACACGGAACAAAGCAAATGTGTACAACAACAACTGGGGGGAAAACAACAACTCAGAGCCTCCTCTTCCCTGTAGTTCCTAGAAAGAGAGCCCGCATCCCCAGCACCAAGCCTGACTCTCCGCAGGGCTTTCTGAAACTGCACACACACGCAGCATTTCGCTTCTAGGGAGCCACACCCAGGTTCCCAACGCACAAAGCCATGGGCCCCACATCCTCCTCCTTCATCTCAGTTCCCAATGAAATCAGGAGCGACGGGTTGCAGCCACCGATTCTTCTGGGCTTTGATGAGCACGAGGAGGAGGAGAAGGCAAAGATGAAGCTGGTTTTGCTTGAAAAGTAAAAGTTCCTGCTAATCATCTGCTTATGGGTGTGTTGGTCACATGGATAATTCTCTGATGTTACATAATCTATCTTTCACTTTCCTTTCCACATGAGTGAGTAGGGGGGGGGG